GCATCTGTATGTGGATAAAATGGCAAGTCAACAGTCAGGAGAGGGGGGAGCCGTATATGTTCCAGCTTAGATAAACTGGGGAGATTAGCCAAATGTTTAAAGTGAAGAGCTGCGCTGAGAACCTAATGTTCCCAAGTAGCCTACTGGTTCTATGTTCCCTGTCATCTAGGGTGGATTAAAACTTTACTGTCTTTATCTGCAAAGTGAAATCACATTGCCATTTCACCCAAATATGGAGATTTAGCTTTAGATGGACCCAAAATTCTTAAAAATGCCAATGCAGTGGCTTCTCCATGAATACTGAAAACAATCTTAGATCAAAGATTAAATAGCTCCTGAGATTTGAGAAACCCAAGTCAAGGGAAATTCTCTGTGCCCTTAAGTTTGCTTTTAAAGTGTGTCTTCAGTGATGCCAATACAATAAATCTCTCTTTATGTAAATTCCTTCTAATTTTACTAAAGTTTGTTCTTGAAAGTCACTTGTGAGTATGATTTGGTATTGAAACAGGACCAAACTGCATTTTTAAAACAACTTCCCTTCTGCTCTAAAATTAATATTTTACAGCTTATTTATGCTATGCAATTGTTATAAGCATTCAGCATTCAATAATTTCAACTTCTTGAATAGCATCCCAAGAAATACTAGATTTTTCATGAAACAAGAAAAATAAAAGAAAAAATAATAGTTCACAGGTAATTTGCATGGCAACTTTCAAAAGGTTGAATACGCTACTGCCCTTTTACACAGGAATTTTAAAACGTGAGATATTTTTCTAATTCATGTACTATTGACATCTGTGGAATCCAGGTGGCTTGGATGTCATGGCTTAAGTTAGAAAATAGTTACTAGCTAAAAAGAAAAAAAAAAGGTTAAATTATGTTGCTATGTAAACTTCATTTAAAGTGGTTTTTAAGCCATTTTAATAAATGAAAGCAAATTTACCATAATGAAAGATTAAGCAAAAACAAAAAAATCCTTTCTTTTATTTACATAATTATATCTCCAGAAGATGCTGAGTATTTAGGTACCACTTATGTGCCATCTTATGTGCTTTCAATTTTTGTTAAGTGATGGGAATGAGCTTACCACAGTATTTGTACGTGCTTTATTTCTACCCCAAAATTTTGCAAGATAAAACAGTGCCAGGGTCCTTATCTCCCTAGGTGCCTCTCTGGGACGCATGTTTTTTAGCCCATGTTTTTACAGATAAGATCAACTCCTTAAGAATAAGATGCTTTAAAAAAAAAAAAAAAAGAATAAGATGCTTTCTTCAGAATGTTTGACAATTTTACAGAGAAAATTTCATATTTTATTCACTATTTGCCAAAAAAAAATAAAATACTTGTTCTCATATTAAATGGATGCATGATATTAGCAAACAGAACATTCAAGGCTTAACTCAAATGATTAAAAACAGTAGCTGTCTCATTAATATAGGATTTTAAGGTAATGGCACAATGGCTCATTGGTTCTTTGTGTGAATAATGTGATCAAATGAAAGGGGGAGGGGAGGAAGGCTAAAAGACTATGGAATCATGAGAGCTTATTTCCATTGCCCAAGAGGAAAATATATAGAATAGATTCTGCCCTCCCCTTTCTGTTCTCCATGACAATGATTTTGAAATGTTGAAATATACCTTTTCAGGCTAGTGCTTGTCAATATTGATGGCTGAAGGAAAAAGCAAACAAACAATATGCTTATTAACTTGGATTATTAACAACAGACCACCTAATTTACCAGCTAAAATTATAAAGTTATTTTGACTTTGATTATAACTGGTGTATGAGTCTCCAGGTATGATGAGAAATAAGAGCCACCATCACACACACACACACACACACACACACTCTGATCTACTGCCTTTAGTTTGTTATCTATCAACACATAATTTCATGTTTCCTCATTTGAGTAGCATCTTTGTTCCAAACCTAGGAAATTATTTCACAGACAATACCAATTAGGTCCCATCACAATCATTTTCCTACTAGGAAATAGCCCATTTTCCAGATCCAAAAGTGAAATCACAGAGAAAAATGATTTTCCAAACAAAAGTAAAAAGGATTTTTTAAATATAACTTCTTACTCATTATTTTTTCCCCCAGTTTTTACACCATTTCTTATCTCTCTCAAGAGTGCTAAAAATCTACACACATGCAATAGAGGCTTCAAATCATGTTATATGACCATTAAGTTTGTTATGTAAGAAAAAAGAAGCATACCACTTTCATTTAAAGTAATAATTTTATGCTTTGTCAGCATGTCGTGTACTATCAAAATTATAGACAAATATCCAGATTAGTTTGTTCAACAGTAGGATATCACTGTTTACAATATAAGGTTTTGGAGGTTTTGTTTTTTCTTTTTTTGTATTCCAAATCCTATAAAATAGAGAAAAAATAAAAGAAATACAAGAGATATATAGTGTGTAATCTGAGTTTTTAAAGAGGCAGTTTATGACATAAATATAAATGTTTTCTAGAAATATTGGCTCAAAAAAACCCAAGTTAGTTTTAAGCAGACAGTAGAAAAATTAAAAGGCATCATGGCTGACTATATTTCTCCCACTGCAGATGTATTTTTAGGGTTAAGTAGGCAGCTAGAAAGCCTCCTGCAATCTCAGCATTCTGGAAGGCAGTATACTCCAGGCCTTGGGTGGTTCTCCCCATGCTTGATCTCTGCCATTGCTTTGCCCTGCCTCCCTGTGTCCAATGTCAAAATCACATGCAGGAAACAAGAAGAAAGCCTTCTGCTTCAGCAGTCTTTGTGAGTGATGGTGATACACCAGTGCAATGGCAAAAGTGCTGGGGAAAGGTGCTATCTCCCATCACTGGCAATTATTACAGAGGCCCCCTGAATTCTGCTCTCAATCCCAGTCTCTTGGAGGAAGCTGCTCTGGAGAACAGGGAACAGTTTCATCTTAAGATTTCTATACTATACATTTTTAGCCTTCTTTTCATAAGGTCTAGAAAATACCATCTCATATTTATTTCTAGTGAATGTCACAAATGTGCTCTCAGACTAAAAAATATTCTTTTCAAGAGAGGATGCAAAAATCCCAAAGCTGACAGCTAATATTTCTGTTCCACTTTAATTAAATGCCTAAAACCCTAAAGGCATCTGCAGTATTCATTCAAAGAGTTATTTATCTAGATAAACTGTGTATTAGTGTAGGTGAGAGATTATCATTTTATCACATTTTATAAATTATACGTGGCTACATGCCTGCATATCAGAATCTCCATTACCAGCACACATGATAGTTGTTAAAGAACAGAAGACGGCACTTTGTTTTTTATAAAATGGTTTTTTTTGAAATATGCAGTGCCACATTTTATTTACAGTATAGGTCAGGTACAGAATTCTGCTGTGTAGAGGTGTAGCTGGATTATGATGCTGTATCTCACATACCTAAACAGGCTTACCATTGCAAAAAGAGGGCGTATGCTTAAATTTCATGATAAGGAATTAAATATATTGTCACACCCTGCACACATTCCTAAAGGCAGATAGTGCTGTGACCTCCCCTGTAAGCAGTGCAGCAGGTGTTTGCATATCTGCATAAGATGCTGCAGTGTGGTGAAGTGCTTGAATAATCTTCAGAATGAGGGCACATTCATGATTGGTCCAATTGAACACTGCAGTTGCTTGATATTACATAAAAGGTTGATGTTGAAGCATATGGATTGGATAATAATCAGAGTTGTTCTGACATGGTCTATTTAATAATTCAAAAAGGAAAATTTGAAAATGATTCTGCACAAAACTGCAGCACCCGGTCGACACTTTATTTATATCAATGCCCTTTGTGTAGTTTTTGAACTGTGCAGATTGCCTGTTTGATGCAGTTATTTTTCTAAAACATCAATATTCCAAATCACCATCAGCAAACAATCAGATGCATCATCTGTCATTATGGAAAAGTTGAAATGTTCAGCTTCTTTATACACTATTGTAGCAAAAACCAACCTATAGGGAAACCACCTTTATGAATATATCCAAAAAGGCAACCTAGGATAGAGATAAAAGCTGTGTGAATTTGCTTAGTTAACTTGAAAAAGGTGCTTGTTGGTAACATTCAGATATGGTCAGAATATCTCTATTTAATAGATCCTTCGTATTGAGTCACTTGAAAAATACAGGGGAAAACAAAAACATGAGTAGTTGAATTAGTGATTGTTAACCTCCACTCAGGTGAGCACCAAGTAAGACTGTTTCAATTACTTGGAAATAAGAACCAGATGTTCATGGTTCCCTAAGTTGAGTTCAAACCCTTAAAAGGACTCCAAGTAAAATAAGAGCAGGACAAGTTGATGTCCTCATTTCTAACTGCTAGCTCTCCCAACTATGCTTGGGACTTTTACTGGGGGGGAGGGCGGGCCAGCAGGGGAGTCCTCAACAGTTACCCTTTTGGCTCCCATAATGCCACTATCCTCTCACTGCCTGTGGACCTCATTTCCCACACCTGTGACATGGAAATCCTGCTGCAATATAGCGTAAGCATCCTGTCTGACTACTCTAACCAAAGAGATGATTCAGATGCCCCGGAGGAGTTTTTTAAATATGCGTTGTAAATACTAAATAGTATCAATAATTTAGGTTATCAAAAGCAAAGCCTATCATTATTGAAGGGCAGAAAAAATACTATTGTCTTACATTAAACTTGCATACTTATGTTTTTCATCCTGAAAATTAATCACAACCTCCAGACCCTTCACACACGTGCAAGTTCACAACACATAAAAGCAAATAAAGTTTTGACACCATGAACTAATGCAGATCACATGCTGCAAAAACCATGTGTCATTTTATATGCTGAATTTGCTTCCTAATGTTTTTTCTCATTAAAAAAATTATCTGAAAGATTTTAATCTTGGAGAAAAGCTGCAATCTTTACTACATCTTCTATTCTTTTGTACTTCATCCTGGTAAGAATTGATGCATGAAATGCTGACATATAGCTAGTCCCAGAATGAACTCGTTTCAATAGACACAGCCCTTACCTCTTGGCTGTAACATCAAAATGTATTCATCAAACATCTGGTTGTCAAAGGTATTGTTTTTCAATGTACAAAATAATTTTAAGATAATTTTCTCTTTTCTGTAAATGAATGTAAGCAAGACAGATGACAATCAGTATACAAGGGACTTCTAAACTGAAAACAAAACAAGTGAGTCAATACAAAGATAGTAAAATTAAGATCATGCACACTCAAACAGTCTACCATTCCTGGCCTAAAAGTTCTTGATTCCAATACCCAAACTACTCATAATCCATAGCTAATGTTAGCAGCTACAACCAAGATTTGAGATGAAGCAGTATGAGGTGGAATGCCATTTAACTTTTCCCAGTTATTGTCACTGGAAATAATGAATAAATATATCTAGTTTACATACAGCATGAGTAAGTTTCAAAGCATCCTGTAGGAACTCTCAGTGAAAAGCGGTTAAATCCTGACTTCTGAATAAAAGAAAACACTTTTCCTTACAAGTTGTTCCCACCATGATAAAACAGTTTCAAGACACTCCATTACCTCAATGCAAAGTTGGACTTTGATTTTCTGAAGAAAACTCTGGGTGGATTTAATAAATAAGAAAGTTAGGGGCACGCAGCATTAAGATCAATTAAGTTGGCCTGGGACCTAAAATGATAAGCTCTACCTTTCCCCTCTGATCAAAACTTTTAACTCCTGCAAAAGAGAATATAATCAAGTGGCAAAATGTAAGTTCATAAACCAGGAAAAGACCACTACACCCATATGCAGGAGACCTTTATTCCAGGATCTGGGTCCAAATATCTAGATACTAACAGGAATGACTAATAACATTCTTTACCCCTATCTGTACTACTCCCTGGCCACACTGAGATCACTTTTAATTTGATCTGTTCATCTCCCAAATGAATAAAACAAAGGCATAAAGGCCTGCACTGGCTTCTTTTATATATGCAATCTAATTTCATCCCAGCAAGTACTTTATGAGTTAAGGGTCATTCATACCATTTTATTGATGTTGAGCCTGAAGCCTAGATAAGTTAAATAACCTACCCAGGGTCAGATGTCTGCTAAAGTAGCAAAGCTGAATTTTAAACCTTGGGCTTTAGAATACAAATGTGATGACTTGTCCCCAAACTAAACCATAGATAATAAATGAGTAATGCACATATCATAAACCTGGGTAACCAGCATCCTCTGGTTATATACAGGACAGTCCACTCAGTTATCTGTAATTATTGATTTTAATAATGATTAATAAGGACAATCATACTGTCAATTGTGATTCATAGAATTCAGTCCATGACATAAAATATTAATAACAGGAATATAACGGAAGAGATAGGAGTTAGTCATAGGCTTCCTAAACCAACCTCCCCCAAGACAAAAGTCAAAAACATGGAGATTATTTGATTACATCCCAGTATTTTTCTGTAGAAGCCTATCTCAGGGGTGGGGCTATTTTCCCCTCTCCCTAGAATACTTGTACTATTTGTAGCCTGGCTTCTAAAAGGAGAAATTCTGATACTGTTTTTTCCCCCTATAAAGATTCATCAGTTGGGGGGAAATAGGGGAGGGACGGTGGGGGGTGGGGAGCTGGGGAGAGATAGCAAGGGGAGAGATGCCAGATGTAGGTGATGGGGAGGAAGGCAGCAAATCACACTGCCATGTGTGTACCTAAGCAACAATTTTGCATGTTCTTCACATGTACCCCAAAACCTAAAATGCAATAAAATAAATAAATGGGAAAAAAAAAAAAAGATTCATCTCATCTCTTACCACTTCCAGGCCAAGGAGAAACTTCTGAGCAGGCTCTGTGAAACACTTTTCAATCCTCTAGCAACAATGGTACACAGCCTCTAAAAGTAAATCTCAATGTATTCAACACATACATCCTAGAAATTTCAATAAAATATGATTTTTTAAACAACTGAGCAATTTTATATTATATTTATTGGGATATATGACTAAAAAACATTGGTGAATGCTTTCACAACTTCAAGCACTATTTTACAAAGTTAATGGAAAGGACATAACTTAGAGTGAGAAGGTCTGGATTCAAGGTCTGCTTTTCCCACTTACTGCATATTAGCCTTTAGCAAGCCACTGTCAATGGGCTCGTCTTTACTATGAGAATGACACCTTTTTCACCGGATTGCTTTGAGGATTTATTAAGGCAATTCACATGAAAGTGCATTGTAAACTAAAACTATACTATGCAATATAAATTATTATCAATATTTCCTAATTTAACACTTTGTAAACTCAGACATTTTTGTAACTATTTCCTCATAGAAATATTCAATACCTTTTAAAAATGAAATCAAGTACCCTCAAGATAAAAAAATAAAATAAAATGAAGACGTATTGTCTGACATCACTTCCCACCTCAATCTAAACTGGAACCCTGTTATACTTCTTGCAATTTATCTTTACAGTACTTATTGAAGACTCTAAAAAAAAAGATTTATGAACTACTGGATTGAGCCTACAAATTTCCAGCCTATGAGAATCCCAAATATTCCTCATACTTTATACTAATCCCAGATCAAACAAACATCACAGCCTGCCAGTTCCCCTGTGACATCTTGCTTTAATCTCCCACTGACCTTGGCACAAAAGGTAACTCTGCTCTAGTTTCTCCATAGAAGATGCACCCTACCTATGTCTTCCTAATTTTGAAGAATCACAGAGTCCCCACTTTATTTTTTTTTTCTGCCACCCTTCTCCTTCTTTCTATATAGGACAGTTAGTGAATCCCTTTTTTGGTTTTCAATGAATGGATTCACCCATACTCAGCACCTTGAGTGTCTCCATTCCCACATCCCCCCAAATTTCTTTTCAGTATTTTTCCAAATAATTATGATTCCATTCATAGAATAATTTCTATTGTCAGTTATTAATATGATCTGTTCTCTTCTTGTTATACTCATATTTCTTTGTGTAGTTATTTCTTGACGGTCTCTCCATCTAGACTCCAGTTCCATGAAAGATCATGTCTGTTTTGCTCATCACCAAATTTCTAGCAGCTATATTTAAATGCTCAGTAAGCACATGTTGTTTGAAATTAATAAGTATTAATAAGAATGAATAGTACCTAAAGAGATAATAGAAAAGCAGAATATAATGCAGATCATTGTAAATTTACATCAATTTTCAATGAAGTTTTCTTTAGGTGCCTGTGTTTGAACAGTTGTTTCCTCCCAATTTCTACCCTACTTGCAAAAGAAGGAAGAAAAGGAGGAAGAAGAGGGAGAGGAGAAACAAACAAAATAATGGTCAATATTTTGATCAGATTAAATCTGTTAATGACATATCTACTATTTTCTTCAGAGAATTATTAACTGGCATTTCTAGTTACTGTATTTCGGTAGTCAGTCAATGAATAGACATCTTGATTGATACACATTAGTAACAAAAGACACTGAAAAAATAATAAAACAATTTTTAATGTGCTGGAAATTCTGAAAATATATTCAGATACTTTTATCATTTTGTATTAAGCTTTAACAACTAGGAATGCTATTTATTGCACTAAATGTAGAATTCAATAAAATCCTTTCTAATCCCTGTTACATTTTTAAAAACTTCTCAATTCCTGTTTGGAATTAAATCAAAATCCAGATTGGGTGGTGTATGTCCTTTTTCTATATACAATAAAGAAACATACCAAATGGCACAATAGACTTTAATATGGGGAAACGCATCTGCCATTTGGTCTACTTTCATTCTGATGAAATGGTTTGGGGTCAGCGCACAGTTGCAGCTCCTAAATGCAAATCACTGCATGATCCCAGCACATGGAATTACATCAGCGCTTTTGATGAGAGAACAGAATCAATACAGAGGTCAAAAGTGCACAATTGGGAGGAGAGCGGCAATCAGGCACAGGGATTCCCCAAGATTACAATTCCCCTGACGAGATGGCACAGTTGCAAGAGCTTTCTTAATGTGGAAGGGCTACCTACCCACCATGCAAAGGACTCGCCAGCAGAGGGTTTATCTCTACCTACACTCATCTCTGCGCTGATTCGATTGGATTATGTTGCAAAGTTTGCCAACAAATGTTGATATATAAGACAAAACTTTCACAAAATCAATACCAAATAATTGCCCAGGCCATGCTAAAAGATAAACTTATCCTGAATATTATGTACCTTCAGTTCTAGAGTGAGTTAGCCACGTAGTCCAGGGAACTAAGCTGTTCTTACTGTGCATAATATACCTTTATATATCAGCAGGCAGCACAAATCATTTCCTTCCCTGCTGCTCAATACCCAGTGATTCCATCTCTTCTATATTCATTTTTTGTACGAGATTGATGCCCTTAAATGCTATGCTGCTGTCAGTTCTTGGATATTCCTTACCTGGCAGCCAAAGGGAGTGCTTACAAATGACTCTCTTGTCCCCACAGTAAATGTCTCACAGTGTTGGTGTAGTTAGATAATTTTAAGAAATAGACCACAATATCTACCATACTGTATTTTCCATAAATTCTGTCCTACAGAATGCACTCCTCAATTTATTTTTATACTGAATGGATCAGTGATGAAGTGAAACAGATATCAAATGCCCTTTGTTATTGCAATGTTACAGTAAAATGATTTCTGTATCAAGCCATAATAAAAAGCAAGATTTCAAACCAATTATAAATGTAACATGTATGATTTCTTATATTTCAGTGGCCAGACCTGTTCTATTACATAAATTTAAGCAAGAAGTATAAAATCCCTCACATTCCTAAATTTAATTTTCCCCTCCCCCATTAAGAAGGGAAAAAAAATATCTTTTGGGTCATAGCTGTGTGTCTTCTGTATTATTGGTTCCAAAAAGTGATTTCAAGCTTAGACAACAAAGCAATGACTTACGAAAAAGCGGTTCAGTTGCCAAATGTATGAACTCGTAATTCCTACTTCACACACTGTCTTTTTTATTATTGTGTTAAGAAAAATAGATAGCTGAAAACATTTTGAGAAAAATAACAGATATTCCTGTTCAAAACTATTCTGATGCTAAATTCTTGCCAACCTTGTTCATGTCAAAGATATCGTATTTCCATTTATAGAAAAATTTACCATATAATATAATTTCAAGATACAGGCATAGAATGGGGGTGGGAAAAAGCCAGGAATAAAGAAAATATGTCAAGGTATTTCAGCATGAAATTGACTTGAACAAGAAAAAATGGTGGGGGTTATAACAGCTGACGCTGAAATGCATATTCTCCTCCTTAAGAATATATTAATTCTACATAATTGTTTCTTTTGCACTTTATGACAGAAACAAAGACCCTGTTAACGTTAGTCCAGCTTCATCTTTAATCACGTTAATTCAGTAACGTGTTGTAATTGGAAGATGAAAGCCTCCTGCTTTATTTACATAAATATAAGCAACAAATGAATGAGCAATTCTTGAATTGGACCAAATCAAAACACACTATATTGTCATGTTGACCTCACTGGTATTGAGGTCAATAAATGTGCGAATCCGCAGAATAATTTTCCATCAAAACCAGAGCCAAATCTGCAAGACTCCAGGGATGTTTCCACCACTTTTTTATCTGCTAGTCTGAGGCTAGCTGATGAATGAGTGACAATGTGAAATAGATGGAATGCCAGTATTTGGAATGCAAAAAAAAAATCAACCTTGGTGATCCCTTTGGCTGATATCTAGCATATATTGTTGGATACAACTGATAAGGGTTAGTTAAGATGCTCTTACTCACCAAATAAGTGAATCACAAATGGAAACACTCACTGACTTTTCAGCTTAGCATACTGATGTGAAGACCAAGAATGTAATTTTGGTCTGGAAACCTGGCACAGTTAAGACATAGTATCTAAAGCAACTCATTGGAATTTTCCGTTTGCCACCAAATTATGCTTTTCTGCCAGGATATCGCAAACTTGTGAAGATTTCATGTGTTTCTTGTCCTTATTGATAACTCATGATGCAATCAATTACTTAAAATTATCTTGAACTGCGTTGAGAAATTGGACCAGCCTAAGGTTATGGAGAGACAAAAACTACAACAAATCCAGCAGCTTATTGAAAAAGAAAGGCAAGATTACAACTAAATCAAGATTACTTTTATATAGCAAATCATAAGCTGCTATCAAAACTAGGCTAACTACAATAACCAAATGAAAATAAAATAAAATCAATAAATATGTATCAACTATCTACAAATTCAGACTATTCATTAAAATAGAGTTTCAGGATCATTTACTCTTTGAAGGCAATTTATCATCTGATGACAGATTAACAAAATGAGAATACTGACCAGATTGAAAAGATTCATGGGAAAACACCCCCCGCCCCCGCCAAAAAAAGACAATGCATTAGCAAAGACTGTTTTGCTATCTTATCCCTGAGGCAACTTGAAAAGGAATTCACCTTTGAAAGATAAAAAATTATCCAAATTAAGGGAAAAATATGGTCTCTATATCTAACTATATAAAACCTAAGAATTAAAGTTTAGCTTCAAAACAAGATGGCATGTGGAAAGTGTTCAAAGAGAAGTGATTTTCATGAAGAATTCTTTTTTTTTTTTT